TCTTCTTATTCTCAGCTATGTTTATTCGAAGCCGGGCATATTGAAGTAACTGAATTATAGCAGAATTATATTGCAGGCTGACTAGTTTTACAACAATACTTAATTAATCTTTTCGAAACGAAAACGCATTTCGGAATTTCAGTCGATATTTCATGAGTTAGCCCACCTACTGTATTAAATTTTAAGAAGACGTAATTTGCTATCGAATAAGTAAAAGAAATACCATTTCTGTGCATGTTTTCCATAAAATGTGTTCGAATTCATAAGAGTATCAAAGACCAATATGAAAAATTCATGATTCTTAAGTAATCATTTTTTTTACGGAATAAAACTTATGCTCCCTCGAGAGGCGGTACTCTGACGTGACTAAAACAAGTAACATTACGCAATATGATGATTAACATGACAAGCCTACTTAAGTAATCTCTTCGAATTGGAAACACATTTTCAGAATTTCTGTGAACATTTCATGAGACAGCATATCCATTGTACGTAGTGAACAAGGGGAAGAAATATGCTGAGGGTTTCTGGAGAAATTTTTGATTAAAGGCTAATTTGCATCTCAATGTGAACTGATATGAGGCTGTGTTCGTCCACATCAACTTTGCGTTTTCACCGGATAATGTTTTATGATTTTCGCCGTCTACTGTTTCCCAGAGCCACTGTCTCAATTTTTGAATACAATTTGTTTTTTTTCTCCGAGAAATCCATTTTTGAGAAAATTTTTTTAGTACACTGCTCAGTCTGCACGGTTTGTGCCGATAGACTTCATCGGGGTCTTTTTACGCAACATTCAGACGCAGATAAACGTCGTCAGCCTGTCTTCTTTTCTGTAATGATGAATCTGTTAGCGTCTTCGGCTGTCAAATGTAACTTCATTGATATTTACTTGTAATGACCCTCCCTCCCTCCCATCTGTCTTTGATGCAGACGTCACCACTGAAGAGGGTAGAGAAAGAAACCGATCGACGGTCCGAAACAGCGGCAACCGACGAAAGGGCAGTAGACTAGTTGGGAGGCTGCCGAAGGCAGTCGATCTGGATGCGAGTCCTCGCCGCCCAGCACTCCCCGCCTCTGATGAAGAGCCCCCCTCACCGAAACCCGTGTCAGCGAAGGATGCTGAACCCAGTGCCAGAAGATGCCCTACACGACAGACTTCTATAATGCCGCGCCAGGGGGGCAGTCCACCTTTAATTGAAAACGATGTGGTCTCCGGTATGTGTTACAAGTCCACCGTTTGACTTGCTGCTTTCCTCTTCCTTGCCTGCCGCCTGTCGATCTGATTTGTTTAGGCTATTCACGTCCCCCCATTGGCCCTAAAAGTGCTTCCACGATTACCTGACAAACCTAGGATCATTCCTGATCCATCCGACCTCATTGATGTCGCGTATACATTGCATCTCCCCGCACAACGATCTGCGGAAGTGGAGTAAGTGAGTCGGCCCACTCTCTTGTCCAGCAGCGGGCTGACCAAATACCGGGTGATGAGGATTATTTAGATATAATGACGGCCAGGTATTTAGCTCACCGTTTCTTTATCACCTTCACTGCGACGCCGGTAATGGCGGCGAACTAGCCGGACGGTCGACGGCAAATATGCTAATGCCAAATCAAATGCTTTTTGGATGCTTCACGTATCTGCGATTTGTCGCAGTGATTGTCGACTGTCTTCTTTAAAATGAAAGCCATGTAAATCAGTCCTGTTTCCAGAGGTCTTTTGCGTGAATATTCCGGCAGTCGGAGACATAGCGGAGTATAAGACGGATGAATGGATTCCTGGTACTCGTGCATTTGTGTGGAAATTGCGATATCCCGACGGGCGCATAAGTGTTTGCAAGCAGCATTTTTTTGGACGCAGCCGTTCGTGGATACCTGGTTTTTGCATCGTTTATGGATTCATGGGTGTAGCATCATTCACCCAGTCGACCACATGCTGTATGTGGGACGCATCATCAATTATAACGGAACGGAACGAGTGAGTTCCGTAAGAACGATCGGTGAGCGCCGCCTACCATTGTATATTCCCGATCGAAAAACCGACAGGGCAACAGGCTCGTGGCCCAGTGGTTAGAGGCGTGAACTTCTAACAAACAGGCCGCGAGTTTGAGCCTCGGGTGTTCCACACTTCGGGGTTGGGCATGACTGGCTGACGACGGCTAATAAGCCAGAAATGGCCATTCCAGTCTCCCTTGTCTTTGTCGGTAATTCCATTCTGCCTATATCATGCGCCGCTGTGCGGCTGCTGGTTGGGCTCGAGAGAGAGCCCGTAAGGCACAACAGAACAAGTGAGTTCCGTAAGAACGATCGGTGAGCGCCGCCTACCAATTATAACCTTATATTGCGATCGGTAGCACGCCGAATCCCGATCGAAGCTGACCACGGCACGATCGGAGGGACGATTTCAGACAATGAAGCTCATGCACCATCTACCCAGCTCGTCCAGACAAGTGATTCTCTTTAACGCAGGCAGCGTCTCATGTCCATAGAGAGGGCTTCCATTGACGTTGCCCTCGCAGTTCGCACCTTGGTCTTTAGACTCCTGATCTCACGTCGATTCCAGGCGCCTCGAAGATGTCGAAGGGGGGGCTGTGCGCCTCTGGGTGGTCTAGCACTCGGTCTAGCACACCGGTTCCCTCCTCCTCCTCCTCCTTCTCCTCCTCCT